GACGAGAACTCCGTGTATTGCGCGCAGATCCCGCATCTGCCGCCAGTGGTACTCGCAGTGTGGCCGTGTGTAGCTTCTATCTAGATGCAGTTTCTGCTTGAGACTAACAGATGGCCGTGCACGAACAGAGCCTGCTGTAACAGAGCCTGGTGAGGCATAGCCTACATGATCGATGGTAGCAGCGGGCAGAGCAGTGGGTTTTCCATAGCCCATCTCATCGGCTTGCAGAGTACTTTTAAGATCGCTTTTGTAGTTAGTAGGAGCTGTGTTGTATTGGATAGATGAAGCAACGCCGTGAGTACCGTCAGATTTAGTAGTCGTATATAGATCGTCTGATACTATACTGCTCGTAGGAGCATGAGTAGACCTTGTCATTGCTGGAACGACTGGCACTGCAGCTGCATGTTGCTGGAGGGAGAGACTTGGTGCGTTGCCGATACGCCTGAATAAAATGCTGGGTTATTGATGCACACAGACAACAGATTCTAAACCAGTACCTTACTGCTTCAAGAGAAACGCTCCTTCAGAAATAGCTATGAGCACAGGTTTTAAGGATATTGTCACAACATGATCACATACCTGGGCCAATTTGATACGATGACAGGAAGTTCCAGCTTGATCACTTGTCCAGTTGCTAGCCAAGCCATCACAACTATCGAATAAGTGATGTCGATATGCCTTGCAGCATTAAGTGACGTCGTAGTATGCGTGTTAGGAATCAGACAGCCCAGTTCCGCCTTGTGCTGTGCACCTCCGTACAATGTAGCGTTCACAGGCACTTTCTGATCACCTATAATATTAGTCTTCTTGTCTGGACCACCTTTTTTGCCTGACGCGTAAGGCCCGGGGCGAAAGATCGTAGTCTCCACCAACGCGAACTCGAACCCGCGCAAAATCACTGTGTGGACGCTATCCGACTTAACAACTGCCATGACAGACACACGATCGCCGGGACCAAAGCAGGTGTGCGAGCGTTCTATGATAAGATGTACACCGTCGTGGCTGGCTCGGCGAGAATCAGGTTGTGAATAGACTGGCCAAGTTGAATGAAGCTCGTGTTTATCTATGGTAATAATCGCGGACGTTGTTGTGACAAGGGATTTTCTCCGTCGAAAGAAACCCCTGGGAGAACATGAGATAGCTGCGAATCAGATATGGCCCAATTACTCACTTTTTACCCAGGGTGCAAACAGTTGCGACTAGTTCATACCTAATTCCAGCTGGCAATGTACGTTGGGAGCATCAGAATGTCTAAAATAGAAAGAGTGTTGAAGATAAGCACAAACCTCCTTTCTCCAGAGCAATGCTTGGTGGTATGGATTCTGGTATACGGATATAGAATGGAAAGTCTTGCTAACAAGCACAGCATGCGTACGCAACAGAAGTCGGCAAAAACCCAAGAGACTGACTTGACAAACGAACACTCACAGATAGTAGCATCTTATACTCTTCACTTGACTGCCAGAGATGGATTGGACTGGGCCCAACATGGTCGTAGTACGAATTTGCCTGCCCACCGCCTGGTAGGGTCTCGATCTTCTTCAACTCGACCCTTACCCACTTTGCTTTGACACCCTGTGGGCCAACGCGCACTTCGACGGCCTGCCAAGAATAAAACGCAGCGTCAACGCCAGCCAAGTTCCGGGATGTTCCCAGCACGTACACCTTTCACCGCTGCCTGTGGGCGATCTCGCGCGCCTGGTGGTATTCCAGGGTATCCTAGGATAAACTGTAAGCTACGAGGACGGCCAGTCCGCCAGAGTACTTACCAATTACAAAGTCGACATTTGGAGGCGGCTGTAATGCTCTTTTGTGGACATTAAGCGTGGATTGGAGCAAGGAAATAGACTGGAGACTTACAGCTTTACCTGGGACATTTGAGAAGGAAAGGAAAGAAGACTGGAGAGAGAAGGGAATGAAGAACGATATCCTTGAGGCACCGCGTGCCTTAGCAGCTCATCACTCACACAAGTCTCGAGTGTAAAAAGGTCAGATTTATCACCACGCCGGGCGCTGCACAGCCTGTGCACCACTTTCTTTAGTGCTGCCGCGACTCATCACCCCACTAGCGCCCATATCTTCCTCGTTGCCACCGCCTTCAAAATTTCCCCGTCGATGATCAAATGATCACTTAGTCACATCCAAACATCATCAGCAGAAAAGCATGTTGCTACACAATAAAAAGAACAGCAGTACAGTACGGGAGGAAATCAACAGTCGACGGAAAAGAAACGCAGGTGCAGGTGCTATCAAAACTTGTACTCCTTCCCTTTCTTCGTCTCCCGCTCTTTTTCCATCTTTTGTTTCTTTTTCGCCATCTCTTTCGCAACCATATCTGAAAAGTCTTCGTTCGACCCACTAACACCAGCGGAGCCTTTCGAGTGAGCATCGTACCTCCTACGGAGCTCATCTTCCGAAAGACCCTCCAGCTCTCCAGCATCGATAGAGATATCCACGCCGCCATTGGCTTTGCGCTGTAACGACAATGTTAACACCATCACCTCATCAGCTATTACTACGCTTACCTTTGTTCCTCTTTCTTCGCCAAGAACGGGAATGGGCGCACCAGCAACCGCAGAGACATCGTATCCGCGCTCGCTGCCCATAAGGCCACGTACGGATGTCTGTTTCTCCGGAACAACGTGATATAACGAGCGCGGGCCAGTCTCTGCAGTTTCCGTACCTGCCCGACCAGAGCTTTTCCGTAGTTCCAAGAAATCTGGAGTTTCCAGTCCACCAGCAACGGTGGAGACCACACTGGTCATGCCAGAAGGTGTCTCCAATCCTGACGGAGTCTGTAGGCCATCGGTTGGAGCCGGCTCTGTAGTCTCCTCTTCCTCCTCTTCCGATTCATCCTCCGAGGACTCTTCTTCCTCTGCGGATTTTGCGGTTAGACTGAGGACGACTCTTAGAATAGCTTCACTCACCCTCTTCTGGTTCGAGTTCTCCCCACAAGTTCTTATCTACAGGTTCACCCATCTAAAAAAACGGCGTAATTTGAGCTTCGTCAATTAGGTGAATATCATAAAGAAGCGCACATTCGCATCGCTAGTCTTGGGCAATACACCAAAGACATCACCGTAAAGTGGTCGATTATATTCATCCAAAGGTGGTTTTCCCCACCCACCCGGATGGAAACCCCATTGTGCTCTGAATTGATCAATGATATATACGATTTGACAATACGGTAAGCTCACCCCTCAGGAATGGGAGCATTGAGACCAGGTATCCGCAGCGTCGGATAACTTGGTGGAGGTCCAAACCGTTGCATGCTGATCAACCATGGTGGAGGTGCGAGAGGAGGAATCGAGAGGGCCTCCACAAGTTCTGGCGATAGATCACCTGGTCTCTTTTCCTTCAGTGATGTTTCAAATTCTTTCCCCTCATAATACCTAATAAAAATTATCAGTCGTACTTTGAGAAAAGGATGTGCGAAAACTTGCATTTCACCAAAGCCCGTCACGGGTGGCTTAGTCGCAAACTTGAAGAATGCGTCGTGAAGCTTTTGGTAGTCAATATCAACTTTACCCATTTTCGGTTGTACTCTTTCTCGAGTCTTTGCCTTGAGTGACATGTTAGCCTCTTTCTCCTTCACAGCGTCTCTCATGGTTGCAATGCCGGTGTCGGCTATGTAGGCTGGAAGCTGGAACGGAGGTTTTTCAATACCACGCTTTCCTTGTAGATAATCCCGCTTGGCGCTCCAATGTATCGGGATAGGAATGGTGTTGCGATAACTCTTCATGTGTAAAAGGAGACGAGGATCAGCGGCAGTGACGTCCGTCCACTCGACAACCTCGGGTTTCGAGACAAGCTGTTTGAGTTCAGCAACCGTAAGACGTGCCATTTTCCTCTGCTTCTTCTTCGAGAGGGGTTTTTTCTCGCCCGATTCTGAGTCGGCGTCCGAAGCCATGTCGTCATCAGAGTAGATTACCTCGCCTTTTGTTGGCTCGTCGTCTCTTGTCTATAGCGGAATATGCACCGTAAAAAACCAGATATATTGTATGTGAAACAGAAGACGCACTGAGGTTGGTTCTGGCGGTAGCTGAAAGCGAGCAAAAACTTCGGAGAACGCTTCTAAAGCAGGGCCTTTAATATCCAGCTGCTCAGATACGTACTCTACATTTTGAACCATTTCATCCTCCTCCTCCTTAACGCTTATATCTCTCGAGTCTCCGTTTGGCTATCACACATTTGAGGTCTCGTATGAATGCAATTACTTGGTTGGAATCAGCTGGGACTCACCGTTGTGGATTGGGAAGCCTTTTTCTGCTTTGCTTTGGCACGTCGAAGCTGGTTTCTGGATTTAATGGCCTTTCCGTTCACCTTAGAATTCGTGTTTATACCATTGACAGCTGTCTGAACCTCTGTAGCCATGTTGTCGCCGTCGAATAAGATGAAGACAAGAAAGTGAACGCCTCTGAACAACGCCAAAGGAGCAGAATCGCAAGAGAGCCGTGGTAAAGCTGAAGTAAGCGTGAGAATGACGGTCATGTGATCACTATGACACTGGAACACAGCGTTTATACAGGTTTCTTTCGACATTCAATTTGCATCGTGGACACCTATCCTCAAGCCTCAGGATCTGTCACTGAAAGTCGATATAACCACTTTCTTTGATACGGAACAACTGGCAAGTCGTCAAAATCATCAAATTTAGTTTTTTTTTTTTTTTTTTTTTGGGTTAAAGCTCCTACTGTATTCCGAGAGTCTCACCCATGTCACTGTGGTAAGTCGAAGGTAAGACGTCCAGGAGATGATCTTAATCAAGGAAATGGGAAGAAAATATATATTTTCTCCGAGGACAGGAGTGATAATGATAACTTAATGATAAATGCAAGGATTACAGCCAATAGGTACAATGCCTCTCTTCAAGATCGTCGCCTCGCAACAGCTCTATTACGATCTCTATCTAGTACTCGTACCAAGAAGGGTTGTTCAGGACCTTCTTGACGGTTTGACGGAACAATGATGTGCCCCTCTTTGCCCGAGCGTTCAGAGCCTGTTGGACTTCAGGGGTGATAGCTTCAGGGACACGTCGAAGGTATACAAGGCAGATCAAGCTGCGTCCCTCTCCACCATTGGCAAGCCACTCTACGGGGCTGAAGAACCATATTATCAGGACACTGTCAATAAAACGGGGTCTCTTCGGTAACTCACGTGAAAAATTCGAAGGCACCTGAATGGATCGTCAGCACGGAACAGAAGGCCATCGGATCGGAGATCTACATACCGGCGTTGACAAGGGGAAGCTTATCGATATCAGCAATGATAACGTCGGCCAGTTCCCCAGCGTGGGCAGGAGGGTCTTCGGCAAGCTTCTCAAAAGCAACACCGTTCACCATTCCGACGTAGAAGGAACCTTTGCGGACACTGTATGAAGCGTTCAGCACGGTGCGTAGCTTTGAAAAGATGCTCGACTCACGTCTCGCCGTTCATCACGACAGAGGCCTCACCCATCTTTGTAAGCTCATCGTACTTGACCATAGTGAATCGAGAATGAAGTGGTGGTTGATAAGTGGTGAAAGTGGTTTTTCGTTTAAGTCTGAGTCTTGAGGTATCCTGTTGAATCCTTTTATTGGGTCTTGGAGAATATATCACTTTGATCGAAAGCGTTGTCAGTGAAAAGTCATCGCCACGACCTGAACACTGGCGTGGCGGATGGACCATGGACGCGTTTGAGCTGCGGCACTGCTATCGCTTCCGCGGGAAATGAAAATGGCGAAAAACATGAGCAAGTGCGCGCTGATGTTCCGCGGATGAACTCGACACTCGGCGTCGCAGAGTATACTCTAGCAACCGTTGATGGTTTCAATCACGGCGAACAGCATAGTTTTTTCATGCTGCGATGTCGTATGTTCCTCTTGGTAGTTATAATGTGGACCTGTTCTCCGTCGAAAGGCACCTAAACACACTTCACGTCCTTGCATTTCGCAACCATGTCAAACATGTCTGTCCCCGTCGCACCCTCAGAGCTTAACCGCCAAAGACTCAAAGCTCTTCTCGACTTCTATGGCGTCGAGACTGTCGAAGAACTTAATGCTAAAGACGACCCCGAATACTGGAAAGAGAAGCAGTGGGACTCATGGAGGTGGAACTTGCGCGAGTGGGGTTGCTACTGTCAGACTTTCGACATGACCCAACCAAAAGACGGAATCTACCCTCTCATCGACCACTACAGCGGTGTCCGAGGCTTCTCTCGTGACGAAACCGGCGAGGTTTACCACGAGAAGCGTTACCAGAAGGCTACCGGTGAAGAGCACAGGAGATATGCTCTTCCCAAGAGTGAGAATCTCCTCGATGATGGTATGGCGTGCCTACCAGAGGGCCCAATGGCTGCCAACCTCCGCCTGTTCGCTTTCCCCCCTACCGGTAAGTTCATGTACCAAATTTTCTGAAAAATCTTTGACTAAAGAACTTCGTTCTCATATAGGTCACGGATCAGTTTTCGTCAAGCAGATCAAATGGGGTGCTCCCTTCTTCGGCGAGCTTGTCTTCCAACCCAACGACCAGATCCGTGTCGCCGTCTTCCCCTTCTTCTCCACTCCCACCACCCCTGATGCCAAAGGCGCCTTACTCCGTGTCAACTTCTTCCGCGACGATGTCCGTGCTAAGCCCTTCTCGAAATCGCAGCACTGGATGAACGACGCTGGTAGTGCAGTGATCAAGGAGATTGATCTCGAAGCAGCTGCCAAATTCGTGTTCCCTTTCCCTGGCCAGATTGCCAAAGGATTCGCTGTTGAGGGCCACATTAGCAGCGGCCTCAACGCCACTGTCACCGACGGCAAGGTCTTCAGTATGGATGACTTGTCTGAGGGTGAAGACTCTCGCTTTTACTTGCTTCAGCAGACAATCGTCTTGAACGTTGTCCAGCTTCCTCAGCAAGGCAAGCCCGTGGCTGCGAAATGGCGGTTGTTGTACAGGATATCCAAGAGGCTTCTCGTTGGAGTGATCACTTTCAACGGAGAGACCTTGAAGCAAGAGCCTGAGATGCACGAGTACTCTTATGAGTAGAGGTATTACTAGTAGAAACTGTGTGTATTGTAGTACAGTAGTGTATGGTATGGCTCGTACTAGAAACGTGGAGGGGATGTTTATCTTGGATATCCCAAAATGGCTATTATTACGTAATTTATGACCGTCGGTGTCACCTTTTTTGGCTATACAAAGTTCGAGTCTAGTGTTCGTCCGAGTCCGAGTCCGCATGCAATTCATTACTAGCTAGCGGGTGCTGTTCTGTGCTGGCGATGCAATGAAGGTACTTCACGACGCTCGAGTAACTTCGTGGCTGTTCTCGCTGATTCATGTGCTCCATCCGAGTGAGGGCCGGACCATCTCTTTGGTCGAGTATGTAGGAATGTCCTCGATGGCAAGGACGAGGCAGCGGCCCAGCATCGACGGATCGACGTCAAGCTTTCAATGTCAGTTACACTAAGAACTTCTATCTGTGACATTGAGTACTGACGATCGTGCTGTGATCCCGTTGTTGAAGCAGCTCGTATATTGGCTACATCAAAATCAGTCATCATCTCCTAAGGAAACGATATGATTTGACACCTCGTCGCAGTACCGGGTACAGCCATCAATCATATCACGAGAGTATAATCCTCGGAAGCGTCATACACCGATTGTTGTATGCATTTGAACCCTCCATCAATGAACGTGTGTCTTAAAAGACTAAAAAGCTTCATGTTCAGAATGTATCGAAGAACAGCCAGGTACTCGACGTACCTATAGCCTCAGCTGGTTCTTCTCCCTGAGATTTAGTTACCTCTACAGAACGGACAGGTTGTGGACATCATCGCCGTTAGCCACCGGAGTTCATCCGCGGATTTGGCTCCGACAGCCAATGTCTGCCAGTGAACCCGTCGATTGAATCCATGGCAGCTACTCGTTTCCAAGTATGTTACATGACTGTATAGCTGTGCCTGTCAGGCAGCAATCCAATAATGATAGGCGTCTCTTTATTCGTCCCCCATGGCCGAAACCGAAATCCAATCGGATCTTCTGGACCTCACTGATTGGTTATACGCAGGACCCGCAATCTTTTATAAAGGGATTGCCACTCTTCTTTCTCTCTTCCATTTTGACCAGGCACTCTTCCACTTCTTTTCTCTTTCTTATTCCTATTCCTATTCAACTTTTCACATTAATTTTATTCTAGTGAAACATGTTGCACTCTCCTCTTGTGGCTCTTTCTCCTATTTCGCCTATTAGAGAGACATTCCCTGCGATTTGGCCGCCCCAACAGAGGAAGACCCAAGTTCAAAGCGTTCAAGTTCAAAGCGTATATGATATTTTAAGCAAAGTATGTGCTGTTCTCCTTTCAGGTGACCCCGTGTACCAAGTGCTCATGTACGCGCATAGTCACTTAGTTTTACCAATGACGGGAAATTCTGGTGGGATACGACAGGACGTATGCTCGCGAGCATGTTCAGTCTTTTAGGATATGATGTCCACGTCCAGTATTTCCACATGCTCTTTTTCCACCTCCGTGTTCGGCCATACATGGGTCCGCGACCCAACTGGCAGAATCAGGCGGAGTTCAAGTCCTATATGGTTAGTACAGGTCCCATTATTATTCAAGTGCAAGTGCTCAACGTGACTTGTTTAGACCGATGACCACACCCCAATAGAAGTCAGCTGGATCGTCAACCCTGACGGGACAGCCACTGTTCGGTATGCTATTGAGCCCATCGACCTCAACAGTGACAACTCCAAGGCTGCTGCTCTCCAAATGGTTGAAGAACTCAAGCCCGCTATTCGAAACCTTAACCTCGAGTGGTTCGATATCTTGAACGATGCTTTGGTTTGGCATGGAAACAGCAACATTGCTGGCGCAAAGCACGCTACGCAGTATTTCTTAGGTACGTTTTCCACACAATTTGTCCATGCCCCCTACACATGCTCAAAACTCCTTTCGCGAACTCATTCAGGTTTTGATTGCGCACACACCGGAAACGTCACTCTTAAGGCGTACTTCCTTCCTGAAATCAAGTCAGTCAAGACACGGGTTTCCAAAGATGAGCTTGTTTCCCGTGCGCTCGTGGCATTGGACCACGGTTTGGAAACACCCTGGAAAGGTAAATATTTGCTTCTTGCACAACGCATCCGGTGGCAGTGGTTGATATTTTATTTTCCAGCAACTGTGGACTACTTTGACACTCTCCCATCCTCAATAAGACCGAGCGTGGAGATCATTGCCACCGACTGTGCGGCACCAAAAGACAGCAGAATCAAGGTTTACGTTCGTACTCGATCGACCAAGTTTTCTGACCTCGAAGGCCTCATGACTTTGGGAGGAAAATTGAAGGGTAAGGTCATCGAGGACGCAATGAGCGTAAGTTCTTCTCGTCCTTGACGCTCTACTTGTTGCTTAATTTATTATTATTGTAGAATCTGACCAGCCTTTGGGAGATGATCATGCGCGTCGACACGTCTGCTCCAGACTGGAAAGAACAGCGCCTTACTCCTCGCCTGTCGGTTGAAGCCAATGACAACCATATTACAGGAGGCTTGTTGCTTTACTACGAACTCAAGCCAGGTTGCCCACTACCATTCCCAAAAGTCTATCTGCCCGTTCGTCACTACTGCTCCGACGATCTTGCGATCGCTGAGGGTATGGAGGCGTATCACCGTAAGAAGGGTGGCGTATTTGTGGACGGTTACATCCGCGATGTGGAGTCCATCTTTGGCAGACATCGTTCATTAAGTGCGAGAACAGGAATCCACACATACGTTTCGTTGGCAATCAAGAAGTCGGACTTTGAGGTGACAAGTTATTTCAACCCAGAGGCATACGCTCCGGAGCGATTCCTATAATCTATCCTACTCATATACTATCCTTCATTTCTCTTTTTTTGTTTTCTTTGAGGTTCATTCATTTTTATCGCCGTTCGTGACTCTTTCCTCTCATACAAACATTCTTTTACATAAGTTATACATCCTGCGCTAGCGTAGGCATGTTTGTTTATTGATTACTTATTTATTGAGTCACGAACATTGGCAAAGCAGCATGTAACAGTCATTGCATAGGAAGAAAAACATGGCCGGTCTTAATTGGTGTATATCTGTTGAGGGAGCTCCAAACGTTTGCTGTAAAACATCGTAACATCGTATTTTTTGAGATCACAAACGTGACTTTGCTGAGGCGCAAGAGGGGCAATGTCAAAAGCACGTTGTAGTTAAATTTAGAGCTATGTTCTGCAGAGGACCGGAGTCGAAAACAAGCATGGCGATCATACTTCGATATTAGCATCCTCAGTCAGACCAAATTACTGATATATTTGTGGCGTACCTAGCATACATAGTTGCCAGGGGACTTGAGCGCTTCAGCCCCCCTGGCACTGCACTTTTGGTGATCGATGTCAAATTATAAGCGTATTGGTTCATCCTCGATGCCCATCACGCTTAAGCACGAGCGATCCTGAGCGGCAATCGTGATCGAAACTTTATGCCAGTGATCCCTCGCAATTTTTTGCGCTTCGCTTTGGAGGAGAAGAAATACCGACATATCTCCATGAGGGTGACCGCCATACCCGGGCCAGTGGGTTGTCACTTTGCCAACCCGAGGCTGTACATGCTCCAAGGCTTCCAGAGGCTTCATCTCAACTACGAGAACACCGCAGTCTCATCTAAATCCTTTCGTAACTATTTGCCAGACCCTAAGCACGCAATCTCGTCTGAACACACTCGACATGTAATCGTTAGATCACCTCACTTCCTGAGTACTTGTGATATCGGAGCTACAGAGTATTATTCCCTCTCAATAAATAGTAATACTATAAGACATTCTGCAAAGATACTTTAATCACTCTACACGCCTCCATCCTTACACAAGGGGCTTTGCTAGCTTTGTGAATCGTACACGTGCATCTGGTAGCTGCACAAATGTGTCCACCTTGACTTTCCAGTCACCCTTAGCGTCCTGACCATTTGGCAGCTCGACACCTTCAAATCGACCGAACATATATACCAATAGGGCCTGCAGCAAATTTTAATTAATGCGCAGTCATTTTTTTGAAGTGTTAACGCACCTTGACCATGCGGTCTGCAATATATTTTCCAAGACACTGTCTTGGTCCGAAGCCGAATTGGAACAAATGTCTCTTGACCTCCTCCGCAGTGAGTTTCTCGAAGCGTTCAGGTTTGAACAGCTCTCGGTCATCACCCCAGAACTCGTCGCGGACGTTGACCGCTACCACATCCGTGATAACTTTAACGCCACGAGGGATGACGTAACCATCATCCAGGACTTTGTCGACGGTGGCGCTTTCGGGGGGAATGAGGGGGGCAACAGGGTGCACGCGCAGGGTTTCTAACAGGGTGTGGTGGAGATAAGTATCGGAACGTCGGACGTATCCATCAAGATCATGAGCATTTTCGGCGATTTCTGCACGTAGTCGCTTTTGATGGGATTGATGGACGGACGTCATGAGAATAGACCAGGCTACAACGCCAGCAGATACATCGACATCTAAACGTGTCATGATTGTGATTAGTACTCCAGTCGGGATTGAGATAGTCAACATAAAAACTGACTTGCAAAGAGGGATTCGTCAACGGTGTTAAGCAACTACGATACCGTCAGTCCTTGAACACTATAAGGTAGAAAGGAAGCGGACAGACCTCCTTTTCTGACATTGTCCCGTTCTCCTTTGCTTGCCACAAGTGCGTGATTGGATAGTTGGGGTCGCCTTTAACTTTCTCAAACGCATCGTGGTTGAAGTCCAACCATCTATCGTGGAAAGTCTTGATAGTGCGACTGACTCTGAAGAACGTGGAACAATTGAATAAACCCTTGAGTGTATGTTCAATTGTGTAAGTCCGGAAAACTTACTGAAGGAATGGGAGGTATCTGGCCACAGGAATCATGGCTTTGACGTCAGTGAAAATGAGCTTGAAGATGCTGGCTGTTTGCGTGGACATATGACGTCAGGTCCGAAGATAAGAAAGAGATATGAAATGAACGTACTGTGCATGTCGATGAGCTCAGTAAGTATCTGTCTCTGGCTCTTGTCCAATTCACCGAAGAGGAATTTGGCAACAAGGAAGAAACCAAAGGGCTTGAAGTCGTCACCCGTGTGCATGTCAATTGTATTTGCCGAACCCGAAGGTGAGATACCCTGGACGAATTCTATCGAAAAAATCAAACGTGTTAGTTTACTGCGTAAGAAAAACAGACTGAAAAAAGGATCGCATATGCGGGAGGCGAAACATGAAAAACAAAGAGAAAAGACTTACCATCGGCCTCGAGGAGAATATCAGGGACGAATTTGGACTATAAGGGAACATTAAATAAATGGAATGGGAATGAATAAAAGCACACTTACAACGATGCCAAAGTTGAAATGAGGGTCAAAGTGACCTCGCAGACGACGCCATTGGGACTCGCTGCAGTTTATCGATCAGTATAGGCCAGACCCGTAATGGGTAGCGTAATATTACCTAACAAGACCCAAGCTGAAAGCCCAAAAATAGTTAGCGTCAGTATTGTGAGTATCCCGGGTAATTGTTACATACCCGAAACCTAAAATAGCCTTGAACATCCAGCCACCATCAGAGTCTCTTGGCTTGATGTGCAAGTGGGAGTCACGGTAAAATTCGAGAGCATCTTGCCAGCGGGTAAGTACACTGCAAGAAAGATATGATGATGCCTTCAGAACCCCCCTCGTAAAAATGCTGCCTGAACAAGTGACTCACACTTCTGCTTGGTCGCCAGACCAGATGCGATATACGGAGCCATACTTGGCCTGCCATTCTATACCTTTCACGCGCCCGCGCATGAATTTATCTTCGAGGTTTCCTGATTATGCGAAATGGATGAGTGTTTGCAAAGGAATAGTAGTATTTTCTTACCGAAAGGCCACTTGAAAGCGGGGCCATTAATGGACCTGCCCCCTTTGACGCCAAAGGTAGGGTCACTGGGTCCGACAATAAGGTTTTTAAGGACACGGTTAAGTCCAGAGCTCTGTGTGATGTGGAAGAACTAAGAATCCAAGCCTAGTGAATGAATTGTCTCACATACCTTCAGGACAATCCATGCGGCGATAACAGCAGAAAGGACCGAAACATTGAGGGTTGAAAAGATGTCACTTGACGGTGAAAATGGAAGAATAGACATAGTCGATAGTAGAAAAAGGATTGAAAGAGAAAAAACCAAGTGACCGAATGTAAGGGAATGAAAGTGGAGAACAAGTTGATAAGCAGTGGACGAGGGTGAAACGTTATATGATATACGAAGTGATAGAGCACTGTAGGCAGTGCCCACAGTGATTTATTAGCTCGGATGTTTGAGCCATGTTCCATGGAGTGTTGCCGTAGATAATTGATGGAATAGAACAATCTAACATGTCGACACGCGGTGGCAATGCATCATTTCAAATGGCGAAAATCCTGTGGGCGTCTATAAGACTGCGGAGGATGGGTGTTTTCCCGGTCTATAGTCAGCAGCAAGTCATGCGGACCATTGTTATCACCAGAAACACGGGACTTACAGCTGTACTAGGTGATTTTATGGACGGAACAAGGCTTCTGCACTGGAACACTTGAATGTTCTTGTCATCTCGACGGACGCGCCGCCTCCGAGCCGCGTCGGATTATGTAACTGCCTCATTCGAGTCCATCCGCGGATGAACTGCACACCTTGGTATATACACTTCGACGATGGGTCTCAGAGAAAATCTAAGAAAACAACAACATTAGCGTCTCATTTTCACTCTAGACGACGCTCACCATGTCTGCAAACGACAGAAGCCCGGTTAACACCCTGACCGCTGAAGCAGAACCAAAGTCTTATGAACCTGAAGACCTCATCCAGGAGAAACCAGTAGCACCACAGCTCGGCGAGTTTCCTGAGGGAGGAAAGGAAGCTACGAGAGTGGTATGGGGTGCATTCCTGGTTCTCTTCGTTCAGTTCGGTGTCATGAACTCGTACGGTATCTTCGAGTCCCAGTGAGTATTCCCAAACTACTTCTATCACGTGACTGCGCATGCTCAACGCCCGACCTTGAAGATATCTCGCAGACCAGTTGCGTACCGACACGGCATCTTCTATTTCATGGATAGGCACTTTCCAACTATTTACATTCTTTTTTGCCGTAAGTTTCCTTCTAATCAATCTCATATGAATTGTTCTCATCTCGTGTCTCAGGGTGCCTTCATTGGACGTCTGTTTGATTCATTCGGACCCACCCCTCTTATCGTTCCCGGATCCATTCTTCTGGTTTTCGGGTTGATGATGACCTCTCTTTGCAAGGAGTATTATCAATTCTTCCTCGCACAAGGCTTGGTATTCGGAATTGGTAGTGCCATGGTATTCTAGTATGTGTAACTCTCTTCGTCATGATTAATCACCTCTAACTTTCTCCTTAGCCCTGCATTGAGCGCCATCACTCACTGGTACCTTAAGAGGCGTGGTACGATGATGGGATTGACCACGGCTGGTGAGTGTTGGTATCTCCACTCTATTGTTTACATCGCTAACTTCTCCCATTTGTCTAGGTTCTTCCCTCGGTGGTGTCGTCTTCCCTATTGTTCTTAACAAGCTCATCCCCGCAGTCGGGTTCCCCTGGGCGGTTCGAGTTGTGGCCTTTATTTGCCTCGCATTCCTCATCCCTGCCATTTACCTCATCAAGGGTCGTCTCCCTCGCCGCCAGTTCGCTGGCTTTGGGTCCCTTCTTGACTTTGGTGGACTTAAGGATCCAGTATATTTGCTTTTCTTGGTTGGATCCTTCGTTACAGTTCTAGGAAGTGAGTGTTCTGGTGTAGTGTCTTGTCTTGCCTCACTTATTGATCTATCTTTATAGCGTACAACCCTTACTACTACATTGAGACCTTTGCCGTTGCGCATAATTACAGTCCCAATGTCTATCTCTATGTCCTTGCTATTCAAAATGCAGGTTCATTCTTCGGCCGTGTTATCCCCGGTATTATGGCTGACAAGCTTGGATTGTACGTTGATATTGTTTTTTGACATGACTCCTTGATTAAATTTCTTTCTTCGTATAGCATGAACATCCTCGCTCTCGCTTGTAGTGGCGCTGCGCTTGTTCTCTACACCTGGCTTGCAGTCGATTCTCCCGCTGGACTTATCGTCTGGGCGGTTGCTTACGGTTTCACCAGTGGAGCATTCATTGCTGTCAGTTTGTGTCTTTTCTGCTTCTGCAACGCATACTGATTTTTCAATCTCTCAGCTTATGCCTGCGTGTATCGGTAAGATCACACCCGACACCACGAAATACGGTGGACGGGCCGGGCTTCTTTTCGGATTCGTCTCGTTTGCTGGCCTCACGGGACCTCCTATTGCTGGTGGTAAGTAGCGTTTCACTTTCTGCTCATAAAGACACCAGTCACTCATTATCGACTTTAGCACTCATCAACCACGACGGGGGTAACTTCCGAGACATGATCATCTTCTCTGGTGTCGTCTGCACAGCCGGCGCCTGCCTCTTCTGGGCTGCTCGCTTCAAGTTTGCACCCGGACTTTTTGTCAAGTTCTAATCCGTCGAATACTTCCGTGGAAGGAGGAGGGGATATAGACTTGTACATACCCTAATTGCATAGAAGCTCATGCTGTGTTTACGACCGCTAGGAAAGGCGCTCAATCGTTTCTTGGTCTCTTAACGTTGCCTTGCTCTCATGATGATATATATACGTGCACTCGCATTTTGTAGATTTTACGGACTCTCTTCACCCTCATACTTTATATACACAGCGCAATCATACCGCATGTTCTTTATTGTTTTCACACGTTGAAATATAAAACCGTATCACCAATGTGTCTGTCACCAGGCCGACTTTATATTGCCAACTCCAAGTAGGAAGATCGGGCGATGAACGCTAGATGAGCGGTCATTCTGCGAGCTTCGAAGTATGATCCAGATCCTGATCGGTCTTGTTCTCGATATATAGGTCATGAAAAGGACATGAGTGACCGTTCATGCCGCGTATTCAACTTTGTCATGAGGGAGAAACCCCACCACGGCGTAGGTAGCCCTAAGACCTATACTACATCTGGTTAGGACCAAGTTGTGAGCTTGGTTGGCGCTATCAGCAAATATGAGGCTTGGTATTCTTGTTCTCGATAGGTCATGAAAAGGACATGAATGACCGTTCATGCCGCGTATTCAACTTTGTCATGAGAGAGAAACCACGGCGTAGACAGCCCTAAGACTTATACGACATCTGGTTAGGATCAAATTGTGAGTTTGGTTGGCGCAACTATCAGCAAATAGGAGGAGGCTTGCTATCCTTGAGACTCAGAGCACACACTGACTGACCGTGAAGTTTGGTGTTGAAAAGAAATGTTATAAATTATATAAAGGCCCAAAGGATAGACGACTATAAACAATTCTCAGACTAGCTGAATACAATAATTCCACCTGCACACAAAAAAGTCCTCCTTGCTTTCCTCCTTCCCAATCAAGACAAGAAGCTCATGCGAAGAGGGGTGAACCGCAGCGCAGCTTTGGGCGTCACCGTGAACTGCATCCTGTCAAAGTCAACGTCGGTGACGGTCTCGATCCGGTGTGTCTTGAGAACTTTCAAGGCGACGAGTTTGACGATGAGTGGGGCAAAGTTCTTTCCGAGACATTGGCGTGGGCCCAGCCCGTAGCGCCAGAATGCGTGTCGGTACTGACTTGAGGAGATTTCCTTGAATCGTTCGGGGCGGAAAGAGGTTGAGTCGGAGCCCCAGATGGCGGGGTTGGTGTTGACGTGGTAGGTGGAGATGCAGACGGATGTTCCTCTAGGAATGTGGTAGCCACCAATGTTCTTCTCAACCGAGATAACTAACGAGAGAGTTAAGAATTAGTTGCTGAACGGTAAGAGAGGGCGCTTGGATAGCTTACCTTCGGGGATGTTGTACCACAGGATGGGGTGCAGTCTGGCGGATTCGGAGTGGACGAGGTGCATGAGGTTTGTGGTGGAGGAGAGGTAGTCGGCGACGGCTTTGGGGTCGTACTCGTCAACGGAAGCGACTTCGGCACGTAGACGCTCCTGTATGTCGGGGTACTTGCCGATGTCGAGGAGGAACCAAGCTTGAGCGACAGAGGTAACATCGATGTTTGCGAAAAGGATCTCGTCGAGCGTTTGGTTAAACTATAAGGAGATTCGTTCAGCTTTGTCACTGAGTAGGGTCATTGAGAACACGCACCTCATCTTCTGAGATCAGTCCATCCGCCACACTCCCGTACATCCTGACGGCAACAGTATCATAACCCAACTACAATTTAGGAGTGAAATATCAGCATTAACTTAGGGTGAGTCACGGTGTAACGAACCTTTTCAGATTCGGCGACGATTTCAAAGTTGAAAGCCTTGTAACCGTTCTTGAATGCTCGCAGATCCTTGTTGGCCTGAGTTGGGAAGAATCGGTACCATGCTTTTGTCGCGTTTTTGTTGCCAATTGCGTTTGCCATTACCCGCTCGTGGATCATGTGCAGTTCCCAGAGACGCTCGTACCACTGGAAGGGAACGCGTAAATCAGTAAAAGCACCAACAAAAGAAGCGAAGATAACGCGAACCTTGTCATTCAGCGTCTCACCGTAGATCGACTTTGCAATAGCTTTGAAAGGGAGTTCTTTCGTTGCAGCGACAGCCTCAATTTCGAATGGGTCATTTGGGCTCGAGCCTTTGGCAACGGCGGCTGCGTTACCGCGCAGAGCCTTCATCCACGAGTCGTAGTCGATCTTCATATTCGGAACAGCGTCCAGCGCCATTTTCTAGAGCAAAGTGAATCAACTAGGAGTTAAATTGCAGATAGGAAAGATACTCACCCGAATGAAATGAGGGTCGACTGCATCACGGATTCGCTTCCAGTCGTTTCCAAACTTGAAGCCGACTGACTGACTCAGGAAACTGACAAGAATGTTGAATTACAAAGGAGTTCGAATAAAGAATTAGAGGAACACGACATACCGACGCATGTAATCTCCAAAGCTTATGGCAAGTGACTTGATGTGAGCTTTTGACTCGTCCTTGCCCAATGCATCTCTGTAGTAAACTTTGATGTCTTCAGGTTGAGTCAGAACGCTTTTTGAAGAGGTAAATAAATTAGCCAAGTTGTTAATGTCAAAAAATGAGTAGAACTGACAGTTCGCGCAAAGTCCCTGACTGGAAGGTGTAAATTGGACCGAGCTCTTTTACGAGACGGTCACCCAGCTCCTTGCCATGGCTGAAGCGAGAAAAGCGAGTGTCTTCATCAGCATGGGGCAAGCGTTCACCGCTAGAATTTATTATGTAGGTGGATCTTGAGGAGGAAATGAAGGTTCTCGAAACGCCAAAGACTGCACCAGCAGACAAGAAAGCAAGACCGACGGCGGCCCAGTTGTTTTGGACGCTAGTTGGGAGAGTGATGGAAGATGTGAGTGATGAAGAATTAAGAAAACTCATGTTGGAAAGAAAGAATAAAGATGAAGGGGATGACGGTTGAAGTGAGTGCTTTTCACGAAGAAGAGAAGAAGAGATATGAAATGGAAATTGCGATGACGGGTTGTTGAGCACGCCAATGGTGACATTCTTCCGTGGAGAAACCTATGACATGAGGATTAGAGAAATGATATATCATTCAGTGATTAGCCTGCAGATGGGCGGTGCACCCAGGGACGGACACGGCCATTGGAGCCTGCACAGCCCCCGCGTCGAGCTCGGGAGGCTAATTTCGGTGTGCTGATCCGTTGCGCTTCCATGGCTGAGGGCGAGATTGACCCGCGGGTTGCCTCTGTTCGATGGTGGTCCACCCAGGAACTACACTGTCCACATCCTCGCTTCACAATAAGGCCCAGCACCGCTCACAAAAACTTATCTGTTAAGTACACCTTTCCTTACACTCTACAAGCAAGGCTTGGCCATTCACGATGTCGGCTCCTCTTCTCCCGCCCATCGTCACTCGACTGCCACCATCCACAACAGTCGCTCGCACCCCAGTATCGCCCACCCTAACCCGTCGTCGCGATCGTCGCAGCAAACGTATCAGCGCCATCCAGTTTGACTTGGAACGTCTCATCGCGTTTTCTGGCGTCAAAGATCTTCGCAGAGCTACCAGCTACAGCTCAATCGCTAGAGGTATCCACACAGACATAGAAGAAGTAGCCCAGGCATATCCAGACTGGACTGCTCTCGAACAGGGTGTAGATGGGCCAAAGCTCACATATGGACAACTCAACAGTTTGGCGAACGAGACCGCAGAAAGACTCTTCAATGCAGGCATTCAAGAGGAGGATCTCGTTCCTGTAATAGCTTCTCGCACTCCTCATGCAATCGCTGCTATCATCGGTGTACTCAAAGCAGGTTCGTCCCTTCCTTTCCTCTGATCTATCTAGCCTGAAAACTCACCTTTACCAATCCTAGGTGGCGCATATGTTCCATTCGATGCCGAAGATTGGACTCAGGATCGAATCAATACCGTTCTGTTTACGATAGAACCAAAGCAAATCATTCTGACCGAAGAGCACTATGCTCCGCTCGTCACGGACTATACATCTCAGCGTCGCGCAACTGTTTTGAAAGTCCCTCCAGTACCTACACGAAATATTCAGTATCTTTCCCTAGAGTTATCTATGCATCTCCAGCCCTCCTCAAATCGTTTAGCGTATGTAATCATGACTAGTGGCACCAGTGGTGCACCAAAGGGAGTCATGGTCGAACATAAAAATCTGATTCAATATGTACGGCGCTTCGAACAAGACAGACCAGCTAACATGGATGTTCATCCTGGAGATCGTGTTTTCCTCGTTTATTCTGTCGCATTTGATGGTATGTAGTATGCTTCAAAGTATCTATGCATTTAGACTGTCTAACGTTTTACTTTCTCAGCCTTTTCTGGTGTGATTTGGAGCACACTTTGCAATGGAGGGACTATATGCCTCGCAGACAGGTCAAATTTAGCTACAGTAGCGAAAAGCGTCTCTCACCTTCCCGTGACCCCCTCCCTATTATCATCTCTCATTCCTTCCGATTACCCTAACATTCGTGGTATCTATTGCGGTGGAGAAGTACTTCCTATCTCTCTGGTTCAAAGCTGGGCTTTCGCAGGACGTCGTATATTCAATTGTTACGGACCTACGGAAACTACCTGTGTGTCTACAATGACAGAAGTGGGTCCCAGTACGAAGCAAGTCACGATTGGTGGCCCCCTGGCTGGTTACGCCGTGCTTGTCGTAGATGAGAGTCTGCGACCTGTTCCTATTGGTCAATCTGGAGAGCTGATCATTGGCGGATTGGGTGTGGCTAGAGGATATTATAACAACCCAAAGTTGACGAGTGAGAAGTTCGTAAAGATGGAGTGGGTAGAGATTATGCTCGGACTGAAGCGAACAGGACGGTGGTATCGCACAGGAGATTTGTAAGTTAATCGACTCGTCACAGAGTTTATGTCTCATTGACTATCTCACAGCGCCAAGTGGACTTCTGATGGAATGTTGGAATATCTTGGACGTAGTGATTGGTGAGTGATCTATGATCTGTTCACGTTTACGCACAGCTCATCGATGTCTTGTAGGCGTGTCAAGAACCGAGGCTTCCTCATTGATCTAGAGGGTGATGTTGAAGGCGCTATGATCGCTCATCCTGCCGTTGCAGATGCCAAAGCCTTCATGATAGCCGGACGTCTTCTCGGCGTGGTCACTCCCGACAACATCGATACCAAAACACTGCGCGATGACCTACTGGTTAAGACCCCAGCATACATGGTTTGCAACAAGATTTTCGCTCTGCCTTCGTTCCCCCGCACGTCCAACGATAAAGTAGACCGGAGACAACTCCAAGCCCTGATAGAGTCCCTTGCTGATGAGGATACATCGTCGTCCGGTCCTCTACCTACCACAAAGATCCAAAAAGCAGTGGCTTCAGGTTTCACCTTACTCTTCAATATCAACACCCAGATTGGGATCAGAGCAAACTTCTTGGAACTCGGAGGCGATTCCATCACTGCCATTCGTCTCGTCTCACACGTTCGTACAGCTGGCTACAGTATAACGTTCCAGAATGTCTTGCAGCTGGCTACTATCGAGGCCATCTCCAAGGTGGCGGCTCCGCTAGGCTCCCCAACAGAAGCGGAAGTGGACGAAGGTCCATCTTCAGAAGACTGGAAGTTGCTGCAGGAGATAGTTGGGAAGGAGGCAGATACTATTGCAGAGGATATCGCGCCATTGACGCCTTCTCAGAGAGCTATGTTCATTACTACAGCTTCTAAGCGGTCCGTATATGCGCTTCAGACGTATGCAGTTCTACGAGACGCCAGTGGACCATTCGATCCCGAACGTTTCTTCGGTGCGTGGCAACAGCTCGCCCAAAGGCATGCAATCTTCAGATCATCATTCCATCTGGATGCTGGAGAGCACGGTGTACAGATCGTACATCGCAATGCTCCTAGCATTCCGCGTCGCCTGATGGTTTTGGAGACGGAAGCAGCCGTCAAGTCAGCCCTTGACATGTATCTGCAAGAGGACGTAGAAAGAGGGTTCGGTACTGAAGAATTTGTCAAACCTGGTTTACTCTCTCGTATAGCGCTCTTTACGTGCCCTAGTGCAGGTCTCACCTTCTTCGTGTGGACGGTGCATCATGGTCTTGTCGATGGCTTGTCGGCTCCTCTTTTGCGCGATGAGCTCGTCCAAGAATACAACTCCTACAAAGGTGCTATGCAGGCACCCGCACTTCTCCCTGCCCGTTCGTTCACGTCTATTGCGCGTGCTATCGTCAAGCGTCAAAGTGAATTAGCACAGGCCGCAACCGAGTTCTGGCGCAAGCATCTAGATGGTGCAGACGCCACTATGCCCGTTGCTCTTCCTCGTTTGACTGGCGCATTGGTAGCTCCATCCCATGAGCTTGTCTACAACTCTACTCTTGCGTTGGATCTTGTCGCGAATTTCGCTCGTTCTCAAGGTGTGACGATGACCACTGTCTTCCTCGCCGCCGCCGCCGTCGTACTTTGTCGGTACACAGGCAAGTCCAACACCAACGTGGGTGTTGTGTTGACTGGAAGGTCTGTGCAACCCGATTCAGATCGAGTCGTAGGCCCTGTCGTGAACACGCTCCCCATTCACTTGGATATAGAAGACGATGCGCTCCTGGTGAAGGATCTCCTTCTTGCGACCTCCAACAAAGTGATGTCTGCCACCGAATGGGAATGGTCCTCCCTTGGATCTGCTATGGCCGCTTGTGGTATCTCTTCAGACCTGTCTCTCTTCGACTTTGCATTCTCGTTCGCAGATGACTTCAGTGCCGAGAATGTGAAATCTCCAGTGCCCATGGGACTGCAAATCTCCGATGCCGTCACCACCGAACAAACTGAGTTTCCTTATTCGATCACCTTTGAGAGAAGTTCCAAGCAGACGGCCTCTGTGCGGATCCGACAACAGCCTCAGCAACTCCATCAATCTCATGCTGAGAATCTTGGTCGTCATTTCTGCAATGTTGTCGCTGCATTTATGCACTCCAAACATGTTAAGGAAGTTCAGATCACCGACGATGACGAGCGGCGTTTCTTGACGCACGGTTTGAACTCTCATCACACCAAACCGTTCTACCCGACCACGACTATCTTGGATCGCGTCGAACAATCCTTTGTCGCTCACAGGGAACTCGTAGCCATCACACAGGGGCCTAATTCGATCACCTACGCGGAGTTGGATCGTCAATCAACATTGGTGGCTTACTACCTTGCCAGACATCACAATGTCACTGTGGGATCCACTGTTGGTGTCTATGCCACGCACAGCATCGATTGGATGGTTGGTGTTTTCGGTATTATCAAGGCAGGAGCGTCGTATTTGGCACTTGACAGTAATCTCCCTCCAGAACGGCAGAACTGGTTACTCGAGCGTGGGGATAATGTTGGCGTAGTTCTCGTACCTCGCGTTCCAGATCACAATGCCTTCAAACTCGAGCAACTCAAGATCTCAGATATAGTTACTGCACATGCGCCACCATTCCCCTTGAAGCGACCCAGCGTTGACGATGTCGTAGCATATATCTACACCTCTGGATCTACTGGAGTGCCGGTAATTTATTTCCACGATAAATATTTCTGGTAGCATGCTTACCCCGTCGTTCCACAGAAAGGTGTTCCTTTGCAACATGGTGGGCTTGACACTGCCTTGGCACCAGATTTCGGACATATGTGGTCAGCACCTGGTCGTAACGTAGCGTTAATGATGGCCCTTGGTGTGTACTGATTATCTCCGTTACTTGAGCTGCTCTTAACATGTTCTTTGGTAGGCTTCGATGGTGCCATCTTCACCACTTTTGGTGCCCTTATGTATGGCGCGACGCTCCTTTTGAAGGACGCTGACGACCCTCTCGGATACCTGAAATACGCAGACACATCCATCTGCACGCCCTCGATGCTTGCCAGTTTGAACGAAGAAGAATACAGAAATTTCGGAGCGGTGCGTCTTTATTTCATCGTAGTCGTTCATTGTCTGATTGGTGTCGTTTAGTTGTTGACTGCTGGAGAGGCTTTACCACAAGGACTCGCAGATACGTGGTCTGTAGGTAGGAAATTCGGAAATATGTACGGACCTTGTGAGGTAAGCAGTGCTTCATGGTTGGATCCAACTTTCCTTGAGCTTTGTGACAGGGTCATATCTTCGCAACTTACAAACGAGTTACGCCTGGTGATCCAATATCTCTTGGGCGTCCAACGCCAGAGGCACGAATTTACATGGTTGATCCTGTTTCATGCACACCAGGTGAGATATCATTTTTATGACTTTCATGAAAAGTCTGCTTAATCTCTTTCGAAGTTCCTGTTGGGTTACCTGGTGAAATATGGATTGGTGGTACTCCTCCTACCTTTGGTTATGTCGGTCTACCTGAGATGAGCAAGGAGAAATTCATCCCGGATCCATTTGGTTTCCCAGGAGAACGCGTATATCGTACTGGCGATATTGGGCGTTGGCTTCTCAACGGAGAAATCGAATATATTGGAAGGTGTGTTTGGTCTTCTGCCTAGGCTTTGTTTTATCCTAAATGTTGTTGTATGACAGAGTGGATGATACGGTCAAGATCAAAGGTGGATTCAGGTTGAGCTTGGCAGGAGTGGAAAAATCACTCAGCCGTGAAGCCAATGACTTTTTGGGTACACCCCTGGCGTCCGCGACGGTTCTCCGTAAGTTCCATCCCTTAAATCCAGTCACGTTACGCTGCTGAATGCCTCCGCGAAATGTCTAGTTGTCAAAGATGCGCTTGTTGCTTATATTACTCCATCCAACATTGACGTCGAGGCTCTTCGCGATCGTTTGGCAGAAACTGAGCCTCATTTCGGTGTCCCTAGATTCATCATTGCCGTCGATGAGGTTCCTATGTCGAACAATCACAAGGTCGATCGAAAGGTACTGGCTGCTCTGCCCTTACCAGAACTACCAGCAGTCCGCTACGAACCTCCAGCGACCCAAACAGAGCGCGACCTCGCTAAGATCTGGAAGTCATTGCTAGAATCTGAGGAAGACATATCTGCTACCGCTCATTTCTTGCGCCTTGGTGCTACGTCGCTCAGTCAGATACGCATGGTTTCGGCTTTATCACGGTTGTACGGTATCGAGGTACCCTTATTGACGGTCATCAGCACGCCCGTACTGCGTAACCTTGCTGCTGCTATCGACACTCTCCGTCAGACCGGCCATGTAGTCGAAGAAATGGAAATACTCATACCATCCCCTGAAAAGCTATCGCCCAGTGAAGATGGTATGTGGCTCGCATATCAGCTCGCGACCACCAAGACGCCATTCACCGTCTCTGCTATGTACTCCATTGCGGGGCATATTGACGGCGAGCAGCTGAAGGAGGCATTTGATGTTGCTCTGGGTCGTCACACGATCTTCCGAGCAAGATATGACATGGACAGTACAGGAAGGCCTCAAAGGTACCTGGCAGAAGACCCTCCCGAAGCACAGTTGGTGTCTAGGGACGAGTTCAATCGTTCGCTGGATCAAAACTTGAACCACGCTTTCAATCTTTCGGCCGAGGAGCTTGTCCGAGTCCGTCTCTCATGCAACGACAACGACTCGCTGATTTTGTTCTCTGCCAATCACATTATAACTGATCGTAAGTCATATTAATATCTATAAACATGCTTGCATTGACGACATTATCTTAGATTGGTCCTTGGATATCATCATGAGAGAAGTATCCAGCAATTATGCAGTTCTTGTGAGCGGAGAGGACCCTTACGATATGCCTCCTTCACTCGATTATCCTCAATGGGCTGCCTCAGCCGCTCAGAAACCTGACCAGTCGAAAGCACTTTCATTTTGGTCCGATTATCTGAAAGGCATCCCAGATTGCATATCTCTCCCCCTAACGAAGCCTCGACCACCAGTCAAATCATATGCTGGCCAGTCGCACATGTTCAATATCCCTGAGGAGCTCCGGATCATTGTCGAGCGAGCATCAGCATCGTATGGTGTGACTCTTCATCAATACTTCAGCGCTGCACTCCTTCTTGTCCTTTCTACCTTTGCAAACCAACGAGACATTGTCGTTGGTGCTTCGCATGCAAATAGATTCACCACAGAACAGTTCGAACTATGTGGTCTCTTCCTCGATCGGATACCTTTCCGCATGCAGCTTACCGAGAAGAATCAAACCTCCATCGAGTCTTTGATTCGATCAGTTGTTTCCTCGCAGCAGGCTGCCTCTCTAAATTTCAAGCTCGCTTTCAACGATATCGCTAGTGGCATTGGCATTTCTCGTAATCTAAGCCGTCATCCTATATTCCAAGTTATGTTGTCAGTAGAGAATGATACTGAGACCGCCTCAAAACTACGGATAGGAGATGCCATCGTAGACATTGTGCCTGTTGCAGGTACAGGGGCTACGGTAAGTACTATGTGTGTTTTCCCAATAATTGTGCCATTCTTACCATCACCTTTTAGTTTGACTTGCTCTTTGGCTACCAGCTGCTACCTAAAGGCCAAGGAATTCGACTGAGGCTAGAAGCAGCCGATATCTACGACTACATTCTGATATCAGCCATCGAGTCGTCGATGCGCACGGTTCTTTCAATGCTTGCAAACCCGAAATCAACTCCTGCTGAAATATGTTCTGCCATCATGCCCTCGGTCGTTCGTGTACCATCCCACGATGAGAAGATTGGTCTTGTGCGAGATGCTATGCTAGCCGTCCTGCGCTCCTCGGGGCCGCCAAGTGAAATACCTTCAGACAAGACATTCTTTGATCTTGGTGGATCATCCATCCAGACGCCTATGCTGTTGCGTGAGCTAGCCACGAGGGGCGCGCACGTGAGTATGGTCGAGATCTTCACAACACCATCCATCGAAGGGATCGTTTCTTGTGCCCAATTTGATTTGATAAAATAGATTCTAGTATTATTCGCATCCATGTATAATAGAGATAGAAGCATAATTTTATTCATCATCCATCAGCTTGCTTGGCTCCCTGTGTTGGAGGAAGATCGAGCTAGAGGGAACGCTCTTCATCATTACACTTTTTCCTTAATAATTGGAGCAAGATGCTCTTGGATTTTTCGTTAGCTACACTCAGGAGTATCGTGTGCTTAGGCGGAGGGCTGGGATGGGTCCGGACATTATGAAAAGTCCTCTGTGCGTCAGGGATGCGAATCGTTCCAAACTCACCTAGAGTGAACGCCATATTAACTCAGTAAGTCATGCCAGGGTGCACAAATTTGGGGCGGGCCGTGTGCACAAGAGTTCTGTCGTGTTATATCTCCAAATTGCCTATTCGAGAATAAGACCGGGTTGGACGGGGTAGGGTGATAGGCGGCGATACAGACTTTGCTACAATGAGTTAGTCTTGCCTTAGGTCCAAGACATAGATAGGAGAGAGGCCCGCCTTGACATGAAGTCTCCTGTCCGAACTCAAGTCAGGTGTTGGTACGAGATACAACACATGACCTGTCACCTTGACCTTGAAACCCACGCTGAGTACATCGCTGTCATCCAAATTTTCTTTTTCAGCATATCGTTGTGATCGAGATCTGCACACCGCACCAAAACTTTGAACGATGCGTTTTTGTTGCTGTGCTAAGGGTAAGGCCTATGTTACAAATGACGAATATGCTGTTGAATTCCCCCAAGGGGATAACGGTGAATCTGGGAGGTAATAAGGAGCATTTGTGGGTCAGATAGGTGCCTCCAGTGGCGTATCAAATGGGCTGCACCATGTGGTACTAGAAATAGAGAAAAAAGGATAGCGTTGACAGTAGATCAACTTTGACTCGTGCTTGATGTGGTCTCATTGCAATGTTTTCGGAGCTCGCTTTAAGGCTCTGCAACATTGAGTAATGGTCTCCGAAGCCGAGTCTTAGTATCAGACTATGCTTGTACACGTCTGGGTCCAGTTGCCTCACGTAATGCAGTGTACTTCTGGGCGGGCGCTGGGGGCTGTTTAGTGATGCAAGGAGATAACGATGAATCCGGAAGGTAATCAAGGGACTTCCTGGGTTGACATAGTACCACACCAAAGAAGTTTGTACCGTCCTACGCCACGATTGATTTTTTTGAAACACTCGAAGCTTGAGTGAGGAGAGATTGATTAATTGCTATCCACCCGATTTAAAGATAGATGTGTTACACCGGTCCTCTTGTGGATCCTTAAAAAACGGATATTCACGTGAGATTACTTATTTGACTGGAGGTGTTTGAGGGCAACTAGCATTTTTCGATAGTAAAGAGTCAAACGTAAAACTGGGAAAACGTTACCCATGATGGTGAAAGATAGTAGTGATGATACAGCTTCGACAGCGAAATAGGTGTTCAGGAGAGAAGAAGATAAATAAAGAAAAGGATAACAAGACATGTGCAGTGTGAGGGTATCATGGCGGTCAAAGGAAAGAGGAACGGGAGCGTGATGTGACCGGAGAAGTTGCCTTTAATGACGCGACGCGTTCCAGGCACGTGCCGTGATTTCTCAACTTGGCTGTAGGCCTACAACTTGGGTTTCGTGTTTTATTTGTGCTCAGAAACACCCTGATAGCTGATATGCAATATAGATGAAGTTCTATGTACTGTACAAGAGATAAATTAAGATTCTCCAACAAAACCTCTCACGCAAAGCGATCATTGCTTCGCCGGCACTCCCTTCAACTGGTCTTTGTCGAACCTGATGACACTATAACAGACGCGTTAGGATCGCTTCTCAAATGCTAACATAGGTTTCTTTCAAACTCACCCAAAGTCACGTCGTTTCTGGACGTAGTCAGCAACGTGAGGGACTTTAAGGACAGCCTCGTTGAGTTTCAGGAGGTTGGGGAACTGCTCGTGTGAGCATTCCCCGAGGAGCTCTTCCATGCGGAGGTAAGTGGAGAGTGCCATGAAATCAGGGAGGGTGGGCTGGAATTCAAGTAGGTTAGTATTTTCGTACGTATTGATCAGTTGATTATATGCACACACCTTCTCGCCGTAGTAGAATGGCCCCTTACTCTCTGCAAGGATCTTCTCGTGGAAGCTCATGTGTAAAGGAGCAACGTCGTTTCTCAGCTTGTTAATCTGCTCCCTCCGCTCTTCGAGAGTAGGAAGGCCCATGGCGACACCGAACTTGTCTGAAAGCTCGAGCCAAGAGGTGTGGTGGGCAACGCAGAAAGCACGGGAAAATGCCTCATCCTCTCCAGCTTCAGTTGATGGCATGAAACCGAATGTTTCGGCGAGGTAAACATCGATGGCAAGCTGTTCCCAGAGAGTTTTCGAGGTGCCGTCGGTGTATTTCACAACAAGCCAAGGCGTGTGGCCGAAACGTTGTTGCTTCTTAAGGGTAGCCCACTCCTGTTCACATTTTGAGTACTCCTCGAAGGAATGATCAGATTTAAAATATGTACTGCACTGCCAATGAACACGTTCTTGTAAGGCTTTCCCGCAGCCTCAAGGAGCATTCGAGACACATCCGAGCGACCATGGATAGGCCAGTAGTGGATTTCGTAAGACTCGACTGTAGCCATGTTCAAAGTGCGAAAATTGGAATGGAAAGATCTAATTGTTTGGGAGAGACGGATCTATGGGGAACGTGATTATGGTGAATATCGAATGGGCGATACTTGTTTAGCTCGACCTTTAAACAACACAAGTTTATTACCTACATCCTGTTTACAAGTAGCTCGGAGACCTAAGATACCTGTTCTGAACAGAACTGTCGCCATGTTGGGCAATGCGCCATGCCTCGTCGCTTCTTGACACGATCAGGGGGACTAGCCACGGATCACTCGAGACAGCAACGGGGACAACGAACCCCCCGACGGCAGTGACATTGGAGACTACAGCGAGGGAGACCCTCACAAATCCCTCCGCGGAAGAATTGTGCCTCTAAAGGTCTCGGCATGGCACTTGCAAAACATACGAATGCTCCGAGTCTACACCAGGCACTTGCCATGGACGTACACTCGAATTTGATGCTATGACATTATTCGCGATCAAATCTGCATGGCATGACTGCCTTCGAGTGGAAACTTGAATTTAAAGGCAGGCGGTATAAGGCCATCCAACTCATTCCTGCATTTCTCACTTCCTCATCCACCAACCACTCGCATCTTATCTTTCTTCTCCTTCCACACATTAGACATGGTTGTTTACGAGGTCCGTACCATCCCTTTGTTGCCTGGCTAATATCTCACCAGACATCAATGATAGTCTGTTACCGCTGAGGCCGACACTCACATTGACCACTCCGGAGGCCTCTTGAAGAAGGGCTCTCTCCTCGTTGCCATGATTAACGCCTCTGAGTTCAACAAGTGGGTATTCGATTTTCTTAACGATGTTACATCGCCGCTCATCATCTGTGAAATCAACCTTAGGATCTTCAAGGCGCCTGAGCCAAACGCTGAGCGTGAGGCCAAATTGCACAGCATTACGGAGGATCTCGAAGATTTCCTGCCAACAATTGACGCCAGTGGTAAGTCCGTTCGCGTGGCTCCGCAGACTACGATTTTGACAGAGGCCACTCGCAGGCATTTTCGAATACTTCCAACCCGAGTAAGTCTATTTTTCCTACGCTTTGTTCCGGACGAGACTGACACGATACTGCAGAGAATGGTTTGGAAACGAGAACTACGGACGTGCTATGATGGCCGCCTGGTGGCTCAAGGCGCACCCAGAGGCCTTGACCCCTGACGTTCGCACCAACATTGCCAAGCTGCTCAAGGTTGGCGGAGAGACTTTCCAGAAGGAATTCCTTTTCGTTTATCCTGAGGCACAAGACTTCTGAGGGATGTAATATGCGACGAGTACTTAGAGCACCATAAATTATACTTGTTGTGTGTTGTAATCCTAGTTTTGAATCGTTGATCACTGCATACCATCGGTTTCAAGAGATATAAAATGACATAAGTGAAGTTAGTGCCAGAGCGCTTGAGCGCCGACCTTCCAAATTGGTCCACTTGTTATTTGGCTTTGTTATATTCAGAGGCCGCCCTAATCAGGACGGTATGATATTCGCTTTTTGAACTAGAGCAATATACTGGAAGATCATAGTATCACCGAGCTGTCATATCATGCACAGTAAATGTGGCTGTGACAAAAAACAACTGTCGTCCTCGAGACGGTAACCCCGAAATCAAATAGATCTTTTAAACTTTCCACTTTGATCTAGTCTCCCTTGCTTACCTAATTCAACATATGTCAAGTCGATATCTTGTAAATAAGGTCTGCACCAAAGTAAGACCATTTGGCGTGAACCCCCCTTCGGTACCAATAACACGAATATTGTTTGCACCTTGATTTTAAACTCAACCGCTCCGATTGAATATGGCTGAGCATCACAGTAAAGGCTAGCTATTGCTTCAACCAGCGTAACTCACCACTGAGCCTTTGTGCGAATCGGTAGAGTTGATAGTGAAGCTCTCAGATGACGAAAAACGCTAGTTTCAAAATTTTCTTCCATCCCAAACAGATGCTGAGCCATTGAGATAGTGAAACTGTCAGCCACTCCAATTAAAACGCCGCTACGAATTGCAGACACACCTGAACCAAAACATGGGCAAAAAGAAATGGGATATTCAGAGTCATATAGGTTCAAGGTGCTACATAAATTGTCGTAGTTGCGATACAATAGTAGGGATCATATACATAACATTTGTTCTCTACAGTAGCTGTTTCAGCTGAAACCTTTATGTGCTTTTTCCTGGTGTGACTAGCCACAAAATGCCGAGTTCAAGCCGAACGTGCCGCTCATGGTGCCTTCTCTATTACTACCGAAGCGGGGGTTCCTGCCAAAGGTCCTTCGGACCAGACTAACTTTGATCTCCGATTTTTGGGTCTTTGCAATATAATGCATCCATTCAGATTGAATCTGACATATGGGGTCAGCACAGCACCCCCTTCTTAATCGGTTTGCTGATACGAGGCTGTGAGTGACCCGTTTGATCTGGGTAAGTAGTGTATGCTGAACTCATGATTTCATTTCATCCAAACCCTCGTATCCATCGAACATGTTTTTCTTTTTATGACAGATACGGCAGAAGCTCCGAGTCGGCGGCGAGTTGGTACACCCCCACATATCATCATCTCAACAGCGCAGCGTTTGCTGCGGGGAGACATTATACACCGGACCGAGGGCGTTGGGCTATGTCTTTTCCTAATACCGACTCGGATTGTATTTGAAATCCATCCGCGGATGAACTCCCCTTAGATCTCTCACACTAAAAGTGCACTGGTCTTACTGACTGTTCGAAGGGGTAAATGGGGTAAAGTTATAATAGTCCTTATACTTCTAATGGAATACCATAAAGCAGAGCTGTTGAATGTATCGCTGTCTGCGTATAACATCTTTGCCTCGACTTAGGCCTCAATTCAAACCAACTACTCCTTTGACATACGACTTTCAACGCTTCAGACTATCCACCATGGCGTACACTCAAGAAAAATTCAACCAGGATCTAGCAAAGATCGCTGAACTGGCTTCCCCTGCAAAGCCCACAGACATCTACTACAAGATCCAATGGTCAGCTTATTTGTTTCCTCGGTTTCACGCACCTTCTGAGAATATGATGCATGATTTAGGGAAATGGCGAGGACTCACAAGTGTCTCATCGATTACTGGGTGCAGGTCCAGAAGGTACATATATTGGTCGAAACTCGTCCTAAACTTTACTGAACTCTGGTTGACAGGAATTTGATACCTCGGCTCCCGTAGACGACGCTGAGAACTACCTCGGATACGCTAAACAGTGGGTGAGGATGGTACGTACGCTGCTTAAGATTCGATCGTCTACAACTGGCCCTTGAACATATTCCTACTTCTCTTATAGATCGAAGTTCACCATCAGCTTGAGGAGGAGGTCCAGTTCCCATGCTGGGACGCTCATCTGAACTCAGAAATGGTCAAGAATCACGATGAGCATGTGGAGCTTATGGGCACTTTGTCTGGTTTCAAGAACTACCTCGAAGCTGTATCTTCTGGCGCCGAGGCTTGGTCCGGTTCCAAAGCCAAAGAACTCTCTCAGGCTTTCCTTCCCACCTTGATGCACCATTTCGTCGAGGAACTATACACCCTCGACCCTGATCTCCTCAAGAACAGTGGGTTCACAGTAGACGAACTCAAGGTCGGAACACAAGGTGTTTCCGAACGCTCGAAAACTCTTTTGAACCCCTTCACCGACGTTGTGCCTTGTATCACACACAACGGCGGTGCTCTTGACTGGCCGCCTGTGCCATGGGAGATGACTGCAGAATTCAAAATGCCGCCGCAGCTCTACGAAACTCATAAAGGGTCAGTATACTTGTTGAATCTTTACTTGGATGACGGTGCTAATTTATTACAGATGGTGGAAATACTCTGCTTACCCATTGAGCGGTTGATGGGTCAACAATAAATCAATCAAGCATTCCTTCGTGTCATTCTGTGGACTCGTTATCCGTCTTTGTATCACGTCCTAGCCATATAATCATCAGCATTTTCATAGAGATTGTTTCATCATGTTGGAGCTATCAAGAATCTCTTATGTATTAATTGAGGCAGTCCATTAAGCTTGAAGTGAGACATTTAGCCGTGTAAAAACGCTTCACGAATTACATCTGAGTTCACCAGGCCTTGATTATGTAGTTCAGCCTTCTCGTACTTATAAATGTGACTGATAATCAATATATACATTTCCCTTACATGTTTCGAGGCGAAAGGATGCGATACCATTTTGCGAATCACGTTTATACCGCCATTAGTGTACAAGCTAAGTTACAGTTATAATATATATTATAACAAATACAGCATGGTTGTCCTATAGAACAAACGCTTTAAACCCTACAAATACAAATATCCTTGTGGCACGCCGCGCTGTCTCACGACAGTTTTCAATTTTTCCAGTCATCCACTCGACTTATAGTAGGACAACCTTCGCTGGGAGGTGCAGAGAACTGTGTTTCCACGAACACTTTTTCTACGCCACCGACACGTTTGTCAAAGGCTGGGTACAGCTTCGCCATATCATCAATCGGCACACGATGAGTTATCATGCTACAAAATAGCTATCAGCAACATGATACCATAAAATAGAGAACACTTGACGCACAAAGTCGGGTCAAATTTCCCCGGGATAATGTAGTCCTTGATAATTTCTTCCCAATATTTGTGTACGGGAGCTTGTCCATTACCGATCAGCCTGATGCCTTTTTCCATTAGTGCACCGATGTTAAAACCATTCGTGAATCCAGCATATGCAGCAATAAGCCCGCAGCTGCCCATTTTCCGAACCGAACCGAGCATCTCATTGACTGTCTCAGGCACATCAGTTTCTAGCATTAGCATCTTCATGCCACGATGTAATAAGGTCTTCGGCTCGTGGAAGGTTCCTTGTAATGGGTGGGTTGTGAGTATACCAATATACTAAACATCACATACCACAGTCCAAAGCAACATCCAGACCACCTGGAACAAGTCTGTGTATTTCTTTGATAACATCTTTATGTTTACTAAAATCGAGAACTTCGATGCCAGATTTCTCCTTCGCAAAGGTCAGGCGTTCAGGAACCCGATCTATTCCTATGATGCGTGAGGCCCCTTTGAGCTTCGCCCACCGTGCGGCACATTGTCCAATGGGACCCAATCCCTGAAATAATATTTAGATAATACGTACCCACAGCATTAACTTCAACGCACCCATATTCCAACAACGTCTCCTTCCTTTACCCCTGTGTCAACAACACAATGATAACTTGTCGGAAGCACATCGGAGAGGTAAAGTGCTCTCTCGTCGGAGACGTCATCGGGGATTGGGAGGAGATTGACCTGGCCAAGAGGAACACGGACGTATTCTGCTTGACCACCTGGGAAGCCCCCTGTGAAGTGGGAATAGCCAAAGAACCCTGCATCACGGGTGCCGTACATGTAGTTTTGTAGGCTGAAGAGAGGGTATAAGATACGAAAACGGAAAGCGATGGTCATCTCACGAGGAACTGTTTGTTCGATCACAAAATGATGAGAGTTTTTGCTTGCAGAACCGACAATTGCCGCATGCAATCTGGAATGATGCTACGACACGTTGGCCAACCTTGAGATTCTTGACATTTGGGCCAATGCGATCAACCTTGCCCATGAACTACATGAAAGTAATGAATCAATATTGAATGATGAAAGAAGCCAAAAACATATCTTACATACCTCATGGCCCAGAATATCTCCCTTTTGAAGGGCTAATATCTCACCATGGTATAGGTGCAGATCAGAACCACAGATTGTTGTTCCAGTAACTTTGACGATAACGTCATCCGGCTCAGTGATATCTGGAATGGGTGCGTCAACCATGCGAACGTCGTTGGCACTAAACCAGGCCAATGCTTTCATTGTTTTTCCATCTTCACGGTGTTTGTACTGCGCATCCACGATAGTTGGCTCCTTCCCCAATTTCTGCGGAGATTTCGTATCTGAGATAACATATTCTTTGGAATAGAGTGGTATAGTAAGAAACACCCACCGCCTGGGCTGCGTTGGCTGCTGCTTGCATGATATGAACGGTATGTGGTGGGGTTGTTGTGGTGATAGTGAGAAGAGTTTTCTCGATTTCTATGTCACGGTTGCTCGTATATATATACTTAGGAGAGTGAAGGAGGATGATTTAATGTGTAGTGTCATAGAAAGAGTCTTCGCGTCATAGACAAACCAATGACGCGCCGATCACATGACCTCGACTTCATTAACACCTTCCTTTTTTGTCTCGTCTCAGTGCGATCTTGACTTCCTTCATTTTGGTCGTGGACTGTAGTCTCGCCAGAAGGTTTGCATCCAAAGCTGCGTCTATTTCCTATGGAACTAATGCCGTTCTCATTTACAGGTCGGTCACGTGTGTTACAACAAGCGCATCAAGCTCTGGCCACTTATGATATCCCCGGTCTCCATGAATCAGAAGCTATACATTGCGCCATTCACGGCTAGACTCATCACATAAATATTTCTCCTACGACGATCTGTGCTCCGCCGTTTAAATGTCCGAAAGCCTTCACAAGGAAAGTCAGTACTGGCTTGGATTCGGGCACACCCACAACTGAACGGCACACAGCATTTGATCCGCTGTTCGTGGAGGAGTGTGCCGATCACCTGCAAACAGGATCAAGACTGTATGGCAACTCGGGTCAAGGTGGATGGATTGGTGTTAAAGACTGAGAATAGCGGATGGGCCAGTGACAGCGGCTAGGACACAAATTCATAGGCTCATCCGTTATCTCTCATGTCTTCTCACATACATGATCGGCTCTAGGTCCGATTATCCGTTTCGTATTCCAAGGTGCCGCGACCCAGACTTGTTCCTCCGGGACATCGTACACTTATGATATGATTTAAACAGATAACGTAACTATTAGTGTCATGCCGCAGCAGTGGGATCCCAACTGCCCGAGAGTCGGATCGTAATATTCTGTCTTTCTTGTAGCAAGCCGGGCTCTGTTGAGCCGGGAGCTAGCGGGGGAGGGCTGTGTTGTGGCGTGCGGTGTTCGAACAGTCACGAAAAAAATGTCTTGCAAAAGGTCATTCGATCCGCAGTGTGTCAGTAATGAGTAACATACCTGGTCGATAAAGTTTTAAGGTATTTTATCCTAAATTTCGGTTCGCCTTCTTTTCGGCTCGCCCCCGACTTTTTGACCCCGTCTCACTTCATTCTACGAACTCAAGTTACCCCGGTGGTTGCAAATCACAGTGTCAACCACTGCAGAATGTCGTAGATATCATTACACGCGGTAATAATCCTCTATAAACAAGTCGCGATCCAATCGTGATAGTAGAGGTCATCATGGACAAAAAAAAACGAAAGCGGTAGATGTAGTAGTAAAATTAATACAAGATGCAATTACACGACCACCGACATACACGGAAAAGTAAAATGGGTAATGAAAAAATGTCGCGAAATATGCTTAGTGGAGACAAAAGGCCACTAACCCAGCACTGCTACAGATCAAGCCATATTCATATCATAATCACTACAAGATATATCACCCAATAGTAGCAGGAGGCTCAATGCCAGCTAACAGTTGTCGGATCCCTACCAAAATATCGCCCTTGGTAACTGGCTCACGCGGTTGTGGCATTTGTTCCAGCACGTCGGTAATGTTTTTGAGCGCTTGCGCCGCCACAAGAGCGCGCGCTGATCCTGGGTCAAGTGCTGGGGCGGCATCTGCAAAGACATCTCGTATGAGCGCAAGGAGAGTCCGCTCTCCGGGTGCCAGAGCTAGAGGAACGGTGCCTGAAGAACATGCAGAATCGGAAAGCAGTGAAGAGGATATGGGGCTTCCGCCTCGGGAAATATGATTAGGGGAGGCTGTGCTCTCCGATCTCGTAGGCCCGAATGTCGAACGCTCCAATAAGAAATCACGAGCGAGGAGTAGGGCAGGTTCTGCAAACGGCCATAGCCATATCCGTTTAGACCGAGTAAGCCAATCCGCTGCGTCAACTATACGAGTCTATTTTGAGAATATGGTCACGTCAGTAACACTCCATTTAAAACTAATGGGAAGGCACGTACAACAGCCACATACAGAGATGTCTTTTTGATGCTACACCGTGCTTTGTCACTCTGCTCGAATTTGATTGATAGACCGTAGTAGATCAAATGAAGTATTCGGGACACCGTCTCCCGGATGCAATCACCGTCCTCTTCGCTATCCCCTGTCAACTGAAGTAGTGAATCTTGCGCGACAGGCGTGGATAGAACCCATTGGCGTACACGCTGACAGAGTGGCAGAGTGGGGAAGTTGGTAATGTCCGAGAAGAACGACTGGCTGGGCTGCCCAAGCGAAGTTTGATGATGTTGAAGTGCCTGCATACTTCTATCGATCGCGGCATTGATCATCCGTTCGAGATCCAAACACAAAGTGACCAATCCAGAGAAGGTGCGCTGGTCTTCATCCAAATCGAGAATAGCCAATGGTGTCTCGTCCCTTATTCTCTGAAATTCAGCTTCTCCAAAACATGCTCGTAAGCGCGACTCTGCACCGACAACCCCACACCCCGCAAGCGCCTTGTTCCACAGCCATATTGTTCGGGCAAACCAGCGTTGTACACCTATCTGAACAGAATTTGCCCGTGGCATGGTTTGCACGACATCCGCGGCAAGCCAAAGCCACGTTGAGGCTTCCTTTCCCCACCCAAATACAAATACGTCGCGTACGGCAAGGTAGATGAGACCAGAGGCAGTACAGACAACATCGTCATCATGAGTTGTGGGACCCGAAAGTATGCCGAAGTATGCAAGCATGGCTTGTTTCTGTGCTGAAGCGTAGTGATTTGCTCGTTCTGAAGGACTTGATAGTGTAGGGTCGGGGGCAGTGATGGCACACAACGCGCTGAACGCGCTAAGACAGAAGGAGGCATGCACACTAGCATCTTTGCGAGTCGAGCAATCCGACAATAAGCGCAAGAGCTGTGGTAGCGGGAATAGTGGAGCGAAAGGATGTGCTGAGCGCACAGCGCTGAGGTAAGAAGAGTTGTATTGGCGAGAAAGGTCCTCGTGCAAGGTCTGGGTGGTTGCGGGCTGTGGGGGAACAAAGGCGGGGGGAGGAGGTGTTGCAAATGATGGGATGTTATTCGAAAGGTTATAGAAGCCGCCAAAATTAGACAGATCTTGAGTACGCAATGATGGAGAGCAATGTGATGAATGAGTAGCAGGGGGTGTAGAGTGAGTTGTATCGGATGTGCTAGGCAATGGCGTGAGTAGCATGGGGTCCAAATTAAAGTTGTTGACTCCGAAAGAATACGGTAATGATGGGTCGGTGTAATCTCCAGGGAATGGAGAAGGTGCATCTGCGGCTGGAAAGATATTATGAGCATGTCACATCTGACGAACGAAGAGCGATCAACTGACATGATGGCTCCTTTGATGACATGCCAAACATGGCGAGCCAGTTGGGTGCGATGGGGCCCATATAGGTGGGGATCAAGTCAGACCAGTTCTGGGTATCTACATCGGAGCGACCAGTATGGTCTGGTGGGCTGGGAGAGGATTTGTTCGAAACATTGGATGATGAGCTGCTCATTGGTGGCGTTGCCATTTGTATTGGCTCGTGATGGACAGATGACGGCGAATCAGAGCGAGGACGGATAGCGCTGGGCATGTCATCTGGCGGGGTGGCGGGTCTTTTGCGCTTGAATCCTTTTGGCGGGCCCGATTTATTTCGACCCTTGGCGTACTCGCAGACGGTCTCGTGCAGTTGGCAGTTGCTACACAGTGGGGTATTGCCGTTGCAGCGAAGCTTGCGTTGCCTGCAGTTATTGCAAGCTGTGGCTGCTTTTGCTCTGTCTGGTTTGGTGGATATGGATGCTGATGACTTTGGAGTGGACATGTTGGTCTGAGAGTAAGAGCAAGGCGGGCGTTAGAGCATTCAAATAGGACAGCAAACGGATATATGGGATCTGTAGCAAAGAGAAAGAAAGAGCTGTTCTAATATACTTCGCAAAAGCGAGAGAATGATGCTATCCTAATGTGCCAGACGAGGCTGTAGTAGTAATATCCACGTTAGCGCTGATCATTTGACGCTGTCATATTTTTTGTCTGCATACCGTCCAGATCCGGATATCCACATATATTCGGCCAATCAACGGCATCCTCTCCGCAAATCTGTGAAGCCGTCTGTGATTTTATTAACCATCATTCCAGTATCTAAGTACGCTTGAGATCGGTCTGGACATGCTCTCCAGACTTACGTGATGCTGTGTGCAGATTTAGTTCTCATCGCGGGGCTCTCAGACGCCATGTTTTACCACTCCTGCCAGGATCTTGTTCCTAGTAACTTACGACAACTTACGACAATATTTTCACAAACATATCAGTCCGCCTTGATATCTCCGACCGATCCGCGTTTCTCATACACGTCGCAGTGCAATCGCTGAGATCTGAGAAGTGGCATTTATAGGTCGGTGACTGAATAATATCCTAAGAAATGGCAGGAAAAGGCACACCGTAACTTAAATTTAGCGCTTTGGCGAGATCTGCTTTTGCAGCAATAACACCCGACCGTAAGTCTCGGGTCAACGTTCCTAATTGATCATATTATGCCTTTGTGCTCCAGCTCAGAGGCCGCATCACACCGCATCTGCTCGTCGCGATGCTATTTCACTTCAACGGCCTTGCTTTTCAGCACCCTGGACCCTATTCTACCCTATTAGTCACTGCACGGTCATCCTGATTGCCGAAGCGCCCTTTCAGTAAAGTTACATTCATCAAAAGCAGTGCAAGTACCTGTTGCTAGTAAGCAGCTATACATGCAAGATATATTGCCGTGTCAAATGCTCCCCTTTTCGAGCCAATGTTCGTCTCGTAGCCAACGAAACTTGCCAAGCAAACACAATCCACCAGAGAGCAAAACCTCAGTAAATGTTATTAGGACCGATCACTCACATCGAAAGAACTGGATCAGCCAGTTAGCTTCAATCAGGTTTGCTCGCGTCAGACCTCGACAGACCCAAGCTCGAATATCAGTCTTCGTCGCGTCCCCGCGTGGCGCTCTTCATAAAGCACAACAGCTCTCCGGATGGTCCAAAATGCCGAAGCTTAGAGAATGCAAAGTTGAGACATTGCGATGCCGCCATTCGGCTCCATCATCGGAATGTCGCTATACGAGCTCGGCATGGCTACACTGAAGATTTGGTTTCCTTACCAGGGTTTGGCGCGACACCGCATAGTAACGTATTCATGGATCAGTGTTGTGACTTGCGCGCCCCAAACCAACACCGGTTATAGCCAGTGGACTGTAATGCGAATCAGCACACGAAAGAGGTCCAGTATGTAGTATGAACTTGCTTATAAATGAACGAAGACAGCGTGCTCGAGTCCTCAAATATGATCGGAAACAATTAGACACAGCTTTCGGTCCTCGAATCAACGGCGAGGACACTCGCAGTATACGTTTCCCACCAGAACATGACTCAAGTGTCGATATCGTTGATCTGATTTCACTCTTTCTGTTTCAAGTAATCTTGAAGGGAAGTTGTACCATTAAGATAGCTGAATTACCTCGTAGCACCGAGATCGGTTCACCTTCAGCTCTAAACTCGGATCCGCTTTTACGGGTACGAGAATATCTTGCCATTAGTGCTATTGCTTATAGGATACCCGGCTTATCGAGTTCCAGATACGATGGTTGCATCAATTCACCGGCATTAGCACCAAGGACCTTGACAACGTTGAATAGTCCCGATTGAATTGGGTGCGGCCACAAGGCTTGTGTGAGAATAGCCCATCTTTGCAATAACTTGAACCACAGCAGTTAGGTACAGAGGTGACATCATAAAAAAAGCGTACCGGTCACTATACTGCAAACACCAAGTCCTGATGCTGAAAGTGGACGAATGACCCCATACTCCACTTGAAGCACTCGAAGACAAGCGACAGTCCAAAAGTAATAAAGTGCAATAGCAAAGGGTGGCTAGACGAGGGTGAATTGAGCTAGTGTGAGCGCCGCGTGCACCTAACTATACCTATCCAGAGAAAGTGATACCATACCGTTTGAGAACAGACGCAAACCAGTGGTTGTCTACAGTGACTGAAAGCAACCGTAACTAACACGGCACGTTTAAACAAGCATGCTCGAGGCCGTATCGCGTTAGTATCTGCGCCACATGCTCCTAATCTGTCCAAAGGAGGAGCACAAACGCCATAACGTTCAAGACTGAAGTAAGTATTCGTAAGAGCGACTCGATCAGTCGAGCTAGTGATCGGTAGCCTATTATCCTGGCGCTCCAAGTGTGATTATCAGCTTGTCTGGCGGGCTGCTGGTTGAAAGATATACACAGCCACAAGGCTAGACTGGATGCATTAAGCTAATATTTGCGCCCAGCTGCCTTGCCATTAGTACATCATGACACAACAAAAAGATCAAAGCTCGTACTATTACAAAAAGGGACAAAAGGCCACAATGCTTGCGAAAGCAAGTAGAGTCAACAGCCATTGACAGTGGTTGGCACTAGCTTAAGACGTTAGTAACGATCAGTGTGATAGGGGTAGAATGTGAGTCGCTTGTCAACTTTCAAAGTGGAACACAAGCAGTGACTAAGATAGCAGTCGCGATCATAAGGAATAGTTACGAACATGCGACTCAATACGAGACGCCACACGTGACATTTTGTCAGAGTCACGTGCATACTGCATCGGGCCGAAGGAAGAGCGTGCCATTCCGAGATGTCCTCCTGACATTCAAAGGCGAACGATTTTGACCGACAAGTTTTCTTCAGCCAATGAGCGTATCGTTATCTTAGTACGGGGGCGGTCTTTTGACCTAGGCAGTACTGATTTCACAGGTATAAGAATGTAAAGCTCGATGGGAAAATCGTTCGACCTAGCAACGACACACCAAGCGCGCAAGGTCATATCATGTCTCTATCGGTAGGTGAAGTCTTTCTGCGCTCATGAACAAATTGTCAATGCAGACGGGTTCTAAATGATTATCATACTCACAGGTTCAAGCGATCATCCAACAAGAGGCCGAATGCCAACTTCCCTCCTTTGACAGCAATGTCGCTTGGGAATTGGGCTGTATCATTCGTAAGAATGTACAAAAAAAATTCACCAGGCCAGTCGTGGTATACATAGCCCGCGCAAACTCGAACCAGCTTATGTTCTTTGCCCCATCTGGTCCCGGAACGCTTCCCGATAATATGCACTGGGTGAAACGCAAGGAAGCAGTTGTTCTTCGCTGGGAAGTATCAACGCTTTTGATGCGTCAGAGACTTTCAGATATGGGGAGTTCATTACAACAAAAATATGAGATGAACGACCCAAGCGTGTATGCTGTCCATGGAGGAGGCTTTCCGCTCAAGGTGAAAGGTGTGGAAGGGTTGGTCGGCGTCATCGTTGTGAGTGGGTTAAGTCAAGAGGATGACCATGCCGTCATAGTGGAAAGTATCAAAGAATATCTGGCGCAATATTCTTAAATATCGAACAAGGTGCTCTCATATTACACAGCTTGCATAGTCCATATTGACCATCGCCATCAGATCCAGTGAAAGTCGCATCTGCAGATTTTGTACATTATTGATAACGTTATGAAGTGTATTTGTTACTCACAAATGGTTCAGTCAAAGCCGTCTACGGGGTCCCGTTTCTAGCTGGGCTCATATGAATATCAATGGTCAGTCCTACAGAATCCCGATGACGCCCTCGGGAAATTGCTATGATTATTTTGTACCACGTCTTCCGCTAAGGTGAGACAAGGATAATTTGAAAGCACGACACAACATACCTGCGGTGTATATGGCTGTGACTGAGTAAATAGGGGGTAAGGGACGGTGCGTAGACCCAAGGAATAAAAAGACGCTGGACGCGCTTTCCGAGCACACCGATTTCAAAACCGAACCGTTGCTGGTAATAAACTGAACAGATCTGTTGAGCGACCTATCTCCTATAAGCTTCGACCATAAAGATAGCAAGATGATGATCGTGCTTTACTTAACGACCATGTCAGTTCATGGCTATCCTCATACCATCTGTTTCGCTGTTTATTCAAGGCTTTGTTTGATGTCTAAAGTAAGGTATGATAAGCTTGAAACGTGCTGAAGCTCCAGGATACTGGTGTGAAAGGCCGGGCCACCTGGGGGATACCGAGGGTAGCGGATCGCAGACTGGTAGGACGGGGGTGGATATCACGACAGCAACCAAGGTCTGTAATTCAGACTCTTCGCCATTTCACAGACAGCGTGTGGACTTTTCCTTTATTGAAGCTGAGCGAGGAATGGTGCCGGCCAACTAGAAATATGTACAGTGTACACGTTGGAGCGAAAATGCGAGATGAGGCTGCACTTTATAGCCTTAGAATACGTTCTAAAGATCCCCACGGACGAACTTGAGTAAAGATCACGATCTGAAAGTGATGCTATAACGACTCCCAGCAATAGTATATGAGTCCATGGACGCTGCAATTTTCCCACTGAGCCAAATTTAAAGGATTCAAACACCACGGGCAAGAAAGCGTGGTAGCTATTCCGAATTACCACGGATATGGGCGTGAACCTAATATTTTTGGCGGGATCATCAGTTCGGCCGATAACCACCAGATTCAAGTATTACAAGGTATGCAACAGCTGTACTGCTATTGCCTAAGATTGTGAGTGAACGGCATGCCCAAACACCACTTGAGTTCTATTATTCAATCATGTATCAGCCTAACTTGTTTCAATGCATTAGTTCTGTCCTTTGTTCTAACGTATTACCTTTGGTTCCGAGGCGGTTTATTGAGATCAAGGCTGAGAGCCCCAATGTCAGTACACACCTTTATTTGTGAGCAACATGCCCCGCTCAGGCAAACTATCACAGTCCTTGTACGCTAAGCTCTGGTGTGGTCGTGACTTCGGCTTTATACTACCAAGTTTCAAAATATCGAAAGTGGCGGAGACAGGCTAGCATGCAGCTAAAGCCCGAAGATCTATGATTGTTCTTCTTCTCCCATCTTATCAAAGAAGAGAAGAGAGGTGGCGGTTCTTTCACAAATCATCAGTTTTAAGTTCCAGCATTGAAGACTCGACCCGCTGTCACGCGGCTGGTTCACAAAGGTTTATTCATGTAACGGCTTGGCCACGCTGCGCTACTTTCGCTGCGCTGCCACTTACCTCTGATCGTTGGGAGCTAACTGGGGTCTGCATGAGCATTGATTAGGAGCTGACCTGATGCCTTCAATGTCACTGTTCTTGCGTTGCCAGGCCTGCAGGGGCCAGCTTTGGGATATCAGTATATTGCAATTATGTACAGTATCATTTAATATTTGTATGAACGTTTAATTCTGTATTGGCTAGGATTAAATCTTGTTGGGATGGATGAGAATTATAGGACTTACTCGGTCTAACGAGAGAACTACACGGTATCGGCCAGAAGGAAAGTCACCATTGCCATAGTGTTTATACTCACAGCTTGCAAAATGGCTCAC